GGGGTCTTTGGGCATCACAAATCAGGGAGTGTAGCTGCTTCTCCGAGTGGGAAGTATCCTACTGGTGGTAATGACCCTGTGAGTTATCCTGGTTCTTTAGCTTTCTATGAAGAAGTAGCGACGTATTGGATCAATACCTATGAGATTGATGCGTGGAGACTTGACCAAGCCTATCAAGTTTCGACTCGCAATCAAGACCGGAACTATTGGAAAGACATTCGCGAGTTAATTGAATCGACTTGTGATAGTAGAAAATCTCAAGGGAAGAAATGGGGTACACTTGGGTATATGGTAGGTGAGATTTGGGATTCTGCAGCTAATATCAATGCGTGGGGATATTATGCATCAGGGGGATATGGTCTCCGAAGTTGTTTCCACTTTCCTGGTCGATACAATTTAGTACAGACTTTAGCGTGTGAAGAATCTGGAGCTGGTGGGTATGATGCTTCCAATTTGGCGAACATTTTTAATGCGGGATATCCCGATTATGCTTATCCAAATATGTTTTTGACTAATCACGATTTGGTCAGATTTGGTAATTTGATTCGAAAGAAGTATTCATATGGAAAAGAAAATTCACTGTATTGGGGAAGACATAAAGCCGCTTTGGCTTTCTTGGCTACATACACGGGACCTATCACGGTCTACTACGGTGACGAAATTGGAGATCTTGTGGAGTGCTACTATAAACCAGGAGACTGCGGAGGCGCTTACAACGACAACGCGGCTCGAAGCGACGGGAAGATCTCGGGGTTCGATGCAAAGCAACAAGACTTGCACGATTTCGTTAAGAAGCTTATGACACTCAGAGCACAAAATTCGGCTTTGTATAAAGGCAGCAGACAAAACCAAGACGCAAGTGGGTCATTATATAAGGTCGATAAGGTAGATGGATCAAATAAAATTCAAGTCTTAATTAATACAAATACATGGGAGTATGACACTAAATGCGGGTCGGGAACTGATTTGATCACTGGAAAAAGTTACTCGGGAACATGTCATATGGCACCTTTCGGCGTAATTTTGCTGAAGATATAAGCTCTCTTTCCACCTTTTATTTCATTTTTTTTAATAGTAAAATATAATATTCATATTGAAAT